TAGCGGAATAAACTCCATCAAAACTATTAAAAAGAAGAATTCTTCGTTCGAATATGAGATATTTAGAGTCTGCAGAAGCTAGATATTATAGTGGGAATGATCTTCGAACAGCCATGGGGATTGTGGTGAAGAATGTCGGGAAGTCTATGGTGTGAATTTTAGATATAAATGATTTCAGTACACACAATCGACAAATCGATCAAATACAATTCCATGAACCAAACGAGTCCGTTCCAATTTCAGTTGGTAATTCTAATACTATTGAGTATATTCTAGATCATACCGAGTCTATATCCAATACACAGTCTGACAGACACATAATGAACCTAAGGAGAACATATTCCATTGATTACAGAAACTTAGGTAATAATTTAAGTTATTTCAGTTGTGATGTTTGTATGAATTAATGATTCTTTTGTACTTGATATAAGCCTGATTTTGAATTTCAAATACAATACGTTCGCTTGTGTTCATCTAATTCTGTCTGGCTTCCATTTCACTATTTCAGGGATTCCTAGTTCGTATAATAATTCATATACTTTACATATTGATTGGAAAGTACTTTCAAAATTCGCTGGTTAGTTGAATGTCACTGTTTGCTCGTCCCTGTCATACAGTCCCATTCATAATGATATTATGAAAGGCTTACAAAGGTATAATGACACATATTCTACGCTATAAAACCCAGGTGACCTTATCGTTTCATAACCTGAATCTTGAAGACTAACATTGTATAACCTGTAGGATAACAAATGTTGCATAGATACAAACAATACTGTTCAAATGAATCATCGATCGATTGTTTCCGAAATCAGAATTCACTTCACATAAAGTTCTTATCTCATTCTAAGCAATGAAATCAGATTGTCATTAAAATTTCGGTTCATAGTTTCATTCATTCCATATGCTTAAACTAAACTTGTTGAATACATTTTTTTTATTATTTCAAGGTCAAAATACCGGCCTATCAGAATAGTTTTCAATGTTCAATACTATAAATTAAGAATCGAGACCGTAACTAAAAATCTCTTTCTCAGAAGGTATGACATATGGATCGATATGTTCAAGGTCATCACTCGTCTTTAAACTAGTGCAAGATAGTCATATTGCCTGAATTAATTAATAGTTTAGTATACCGTAATATGGCGGTGGTCGAACAGTCGTCATTTTGAGGATCTATATTTCACTATTTATGTGAGTTACTATTAGTAAATAGAATTCCAAAACATAAAGAATACCGGCTACGTCAAAATTTAAGCCAACAAGTAATTGAAACAACAACAAGCGCTTCGTTAATTTGCAACGTTATACGGATTCAGTTGTTGGTTTGCTAAACTATTGAAATTCTTGGAACTTAACATGATATCACTTCATCTGAGACAGGATTTAGTGTTAAGCTCTTTTAGAAATCTAACAATTCAATTTGGCAACAGTGAAACAATGGAGACATATATGGTTGTTTAGTGTAGGGCCAGCGAAACGTCACTAAACCCTAGCCAAATCATCCAGCAGTTGGGTCATAGAATATCGAGCAAATCATCGATCCTCGTCAAGGTCAGGGGCAACCAACGCGCATCAGTTAATCGTATGCCATGGACTGGCCCATGCGGCAGTGGTCTTACTTTCGCTTGTATCTACTTTAACTAATATATTTCTGTAATAACGTCCTCTGTGTTGTACAGTCTTCTGAGCATTTATGGTACCTTGATACGTCAATGGGGTAGTCCACGCAAGGTGCTGACCACGAGGTGTGACTTCGACGTTAGCTAGTTTGTCACACCATTCACGTCTAATTCGAGTAGGCCTCCAATCATTTGGACATAGATCATTTACTCTGGTGATCTACACTAAATTTTTACTAGTCGGAACTTGGTTTGAATTACAGACAACAATGTTCTGGTATATTCCTCTTAAATATTCACATTATAATTACATTAAACCTCAGTTCTTTGGCTGTCAACACCAAACATTTTTAGTCATTCGAATAGACACGAAATTCAATGTAAATTTCGGGATGTTCAACAGCAATAGAGAGCTAAACTAAATTTCAGGCAATGACTGATGTACGTCTGTCCTCAGATTATTTTTCCACATACTGAAATTCATCACTACATCAAGTGTATTAGTTACGTGCTAGATGTATGACGTCAAGTATGACACATATATACACTAACCTTTTATCCTAGAATATCTCTTAAACCAGATAGTGATGTTCCAATCATAACAAAAGGATAACTCGTAGTGTGATAGGGGTTGGTATTTGCGTTAGCACATCGGAAAACGTGGTTTTCGATTAGGTGCAAGAGCACTCAAACAACTGGAGGGAGGGAAAAGAATATTTTCAACTGTTGCCTATGAAAACAAGTAGTCTAAACTTACTTAAAATTCAAAAAATACACAAAACAAAGTTACTACGCGTGTTATTCAATTGAGCGAAATCAGTCGTTGTAGATCTTATTTGTAATTCATGTTCATCAGCCTGTGATTGGTTTACATGTTTGCTCAAGGTCAAACGCCGATGTATGGGACCAATCAACATCCATTCTACTTTTAATACTATTTGTTACTGTATCAGTTTGCGAAAAAATATATCACAGCAATGGCGTCCAGATTAACGTACCTATAGCGTGCAGTTATTGGGTTCACACATGAGATTAGTTACTATTATGGGGTCGTTAAATTTTGTGTTCACTCAGAGTATCTGTATACAGATCGCTACTTTGTGTCCAGAATATAAAACGGGTAACCTGGAAGCGCTGTGTCCTGCGTTTTGACTTAATTAGTGCGTGGGATCTAGTATTAAATAATCAACAAATTGTTATGATTTCATGGGAAGATAAGCTTCCGTTACGAATATGATGGTGTAGATCACCAACGTAGATGATCCATGTTGAAATGATTGGAGGCCTACTCGAATTAGACGTGAATGGTGTGACAAACTAGCTAACGTCGAAGTCACACCTCGTGGTCAGCACCTTGCGTGGACTACCCCATTGACGTATCAAGGTACCATAAATGCTCAGAAGACTGTACAACACAGAGGACGTTATTACAGAAATATATTAGTTAAAGTAGATACAAGCGAAAGTAAGACCACTGCCGCATGGGCCAGTCCATGGCATACGATTAACTGATGCGCGTTGGTTGCCCCTGACCTTGACGAGGATCGATGATTTGCTCGATATTCTATGACCCAACTGCTGGATGATTTGGCTAGGGTTTAGTGACGTTTCGCTGGCCCTACAATGGTTATGTGGCTGGTAGTGCGGTTAGTGGTGCAAACAGTTTCACGTAGAATATGCTAGGTACTTAAAACCTAAAAACGTACAGTGCTTTCCTGGTCTCAGTGACGAGAGAGGTCTAACTAAAGCTGTCTAGTCTCCGTAGTATATATTCTTCCCAAACAAATCAGTACTACCTCAAATTACCGAGGAACCTAGTAATCCTAACACATTCGCTCAATGAGGTTTCATCAAAATGCGAAACTGGTAGGAATTAGGAGTAGTAACAAACTATAAACATAATGAAATCAGCAACAAGCCAGAGAATAAGTCGTTTAAAACTATCTTCAGGTTGTTGACTAAGATAAATTGTAGCTTGTGAGGAAACTTTTATAATATAATTTAGAGTGATGTTACGCACTACTTAGTAGTATTTACTCGTTGTAAACTACATGACATGATGTAAGGTGCGCACCACAAATTTATTTGATAAATACCGTCTATGAAACGATGACTGATAATATGCTCCTTCATGATTATCCATGGTCTGAAATAGGGTAGAATTTCGATGTCGAAACTTCTTGGACTTTATTACAAACTAAGAACAATCGGGCGGATATTAGGAATTCTGGTGACAACTTATTAGTGAAGACGTTTGCAGGTAACAGACATTGTCCGAACAGCCTATCAAGCAGCCATCTCCATATTTTACCACAAAAACACCACATGGGCTCTCCCTACCTACATAGCTCACTGTTGAAATGGTTGTCTTAAGAATTGTTTTCCTTTTTACCGTATGCAGATTTGAGAACTTAAAAACTGACGACACTCAGCTCTTGGTAGTGTTAAGGAATCTTGCTCAAAGTTCTGGGATTATTATGTATAGCCATAAAAGTCGCTTCGCGGCAAATGACGTGAAATGTTAGGTCAGAAATGTAACGAGATATCCCCTCGCACAACCACACATATATATCACTTCAATTTGGTACTTCCCTGTTTTAACTAAACTATTGAAACTCTATCTTGCTAGGTGCGAAGTTTAACTTGCCAGTGGCTGAACACTTGGTGGTAGTAAATTATTAGGGGGCTTAGTTACTAAGAAACTTACAACTACGCAGCCGACAACGTAACATAACTATCTTGGTTTTATTATGAACCAGTTAACTAACCTTACATCACTACTCAGTGAGGATACAGCATCACAGAAGTTTCATTTGACAAACTGAAGGTTGAGTACATTAGATTCGCATAGAACTTCTTAAGAGCTATCACAGAAGCCTTAGTGCTTAGTCGAAGGTTCACCATTTTGTTGAATATCATCCACGGATGATGGGGAAATCTTGTGACACACAAAATAGTTGTAGCAACTTACAATGCCCTCAGCCCGTGAATAACCACGCAACAACACTGGGAATCAATACTCTAACTGCATTTAAGAATATTATCTATGAGTCGGAAAATAGCGATCCAATTTCAGTGAATGTGAATTGGCTGTTCGAATATGTATGATATTGTGTGCATCGTAGTGCGGAGTGTTCAGTTTTAAGGAGAATGTAAATAACACGAAAACAGTAGAGGAAGCCATATCCCCCAAGGATTCAAAGTAAACTCAGATAAGGTTTTAAGTGTGTGCATAATAACGCTAAGAATCCACCATTGAAACTTGCAACAAAGAAACATCAAACTCAGTTGTACATCGGAACATTGAACCGCGAAATAATATTTTCGAGGTTAATTTCCAATGTCTAAAAACAAAAAACATACTCTTTTACTGTGATACATATTTAGCCTAGATCACAAAATATTAAAGTATATAACTGAGGGAAAATCAATTTAGGGCTAAAGTCCCTGAATACAAAGAAAAGAAAATTTACATACATAAATACATACATACACACATCCTGACATAGATGAGAACTGTACAGACGTATTTTTACTGGGTAAATGCAATAGAAAAAGTACACATATCTTCATTTATAAAGGAATATTTCAAGAATAGGGGATATTAATCAAATCCCCAGGTTTATTGACAATTTCTTGATGCTTTTCAACTGACATAAGCATTTACAACATTTGACCATGAACTATATCGACGTAATCGATCAACTGACCTAACAATAAAATAATACATATTATTCGCTTGAACATGAGTTAATGTACACGCCATAGGCAAAGGTAAAGCGGCTACTTCACCAACCTGAAGATATGCAACAAAAAAAAGAGAAGAAATAAAATAAAAGTAAAGTATATGATACATTCATGGAATTATCACAATGAATAACTAATGACCTTAAGTAATTAAGTATAATGTTTCGTTTTGAAGACAATAATAACAATTAAAGATCCGATCTTATTGAACATTGTTTAAATTACGGGGTAATTGAAATGGTTCATTTCTTTTTTTTTCTTCTTTTAAATATGTGCTGATGATGTTGTCTTAGAATGATAGTGAACGTTTTACAACCAAATCAACTAGTTGAAAGAATATAACAATGACGAAATTCTCATTCTGAATTACATATATTGGCCGTCACTATTTGAATATACTAAGATAGATTCCCACTATATTTTCTACGTTTGTCTACCTGAAGTAGTTTAACCTCTTTGATATCGGAATAAATACAACACTGTCTAATGATTCTCAAGAGTATTCTTAAGTCAATAATTCATAATTGAACTTGACGGAAACCATCATCATCATCATCAGAATTCACAAAATGACGATTCAGTTTTTATTATATATATTCACATATAATGTAGTTCAAAAGTTATTGTCTTCATTTCTAACGTTGAACACCTCTGTGGATTTGTCTATAGTCAGTCAGTCAATTAGCTATAATGAAGGATCAGGCACATAGATACATTGATCCAACTTTTGTCTATGGTTATAAATGATTATTTATTTACAATATTATAAAACAAATGGAATATAAACTAGGCAAATAACTGATCAAGAAAACTGTATATATAAAACAGTACGGAAGTTTACAGTGAATATATGATGAATGAATTCAAAGAAAGAGTATACATGAAAATTAGTTAGTTATAAAGATGAGAACAGTACAAGATTGTGTAAAATATACAACTAGGAAAGGTAACAATACATGTGTATATACTTTGATCTCTTCATTTTATCATTATTATTATTATGATTATGATTACTACTATACACACCTTTTTCCATGGTAATGATGTTTGAACAGTGACTAAATTGACTTCAGATGAAGCATAACTATAAATTTCATAAGAAATAGCTGGTTCAAATGATCCAATCGGATATGTAATAGACCATTGTAAACAAACTCCTAGAAAAGAGAAAGAAGAGCAAAATAAAGCAAGATTTATGTTATGTCTAATTATATTTTTATTATCATTGCTACTACAAGTATTTCAACATATTTACTATGCCCCCAAATGCTCTGGTATGGCCGAGAATGAGGAGAGTCCGCTCTCCTTCTTGAAATGCTCTCATATGGTCACATGCATACAACCACTGCCAGGAAAGTCCTACTCACTGCCTTCTCGCGGCGGGGGTGTTGTTTACGAAATTGAGAGGACGAAAAGCGTATGTCCGGCGCTTTAACCGGGTTGATGGACAAGGGGAGTTCACCTAGGGGAGTTGGAAAACCCTGATTCCAAATCAATGGTGCACATGGGCTCCAGTATCCTGCGGGAACAAATGGCGTATGAACCAGTCGTTGGTCACCGGCTACCATGGGACTGCATCTCCTCACGATGCTCCACCGCCTTGTGAGTTAGACCTTCAGGTCGAAGGCTTGGGGTTTGGCCCCCTAAGAAAACCACCCGCTTCGGTTTGGGCACCCGGGCAGTATCACAGCCCTCACACATATCAAATGAGATCTGTGTGGCGCATATGTATTTGGTGCCTCCTTGTACCATTATCTATGTGTTAAAATAAAATAAATAAAAGATAACATATTTACTATTCATCTCATCAGTCATGTCACCACAAACACTAGCACTCAACACAACTGTTATATACAAAACTTTTGATTGCTTCTAACAGTTCATCAAAAAGAGTGAGTGTAGACACAAGGTTCCTACCAATGTAGGCAAAAAATACCGTGCATTTAAAAAAGTGTAGAATGCATGCTTTACTCATAGACACATAAATTAGCAACTAACTGCGATTTGGATAGATTGTATGTCATTACATAATAAGACAGATACCATCCGCATACTCAAGTTTGGAAAGTTATTCTTTACATAACAGATCTGCACCATCATTACCTAATTCTATCAGAACTGTTTCTATAACTTATTTCATTAGCTTTATGTAAGGAATAACAATATTGAGACAAGTAGAAAACAATCATGTTGATATGGAAATCAATATGCTTTATATTCATTGTAATTTTTAAAGTAAAAGTTAAAGAAAATAAACTAATTACAGGGAAGAAAATCACTGAATAATGTGTGCTCATCATAGTATAGATTAACTAACCTTCAGCCGCTTCTGCAATAGTTAGCTGAGGAACAGGTTGCAATGGAAGATGGTTGATATTAGTTACTGGTTGTGTTGGAACTGGAGGTAGCAAAGCAACAGGAAGTAGTTGAACATCGGGAATAACAGAGTATGGTAGAGAATTGGTTATTTGATTAGTAGTTATATTCTGAGCTTGAGATAAAGATGCCAAGTCCAAATATGATTGCTTTGAATTCCCATTATCCAGACTATTACCAGTGTCAAATGTGAATGAAGTTGGAACATTAATTGTGGAAATAATCCCGTTCTGTAAATCTTAATATGAGTAGACAAAAAAGTGTTAAGGTAGAATCAAGAAAGTACTCCTAAAAGTATTTATAAAAACCCGAAGTAGATGATTAAATAATGAGGCTAACCCTGAGAATCTCATTGGCCTCTGATCACTCGAATTTTATTAATCTTCATCGCTTGTAGAACAGGCAAGTTGTCCGTTTGTCAACTAAGAGAAGAAGTATCTTGAGTAGCAGTCCGCTCTATATTACAATATTGACGAGAAAAACGGGTTATGAAGACAGATGTGTGTGGGATTCAAGTATATTATTGTAGTACGTTTGAAACCCTACATTATCGACTTGTTCCGATTATTAGATTGTCTTGATCTCATCACCGTATTATTTCTGATTGTTGTTAATCGTTTTCATTTCTAAATATAAGTGGATTCTATGTGCCTACTGAGTCACCGGTTGTTTTTCCCTCTTCCGAATGATTTTATTTATTTATTTATTTATTTAAACATATAAACATTTGTACAAGGCACCGAATAGATATACGCCACACAAACCATTCGACTTGTGTGAGGGCTGGGATACTGCCCGGGCGCCCAAATCGAAGCAGATGGTTTTACTAGGGGGTACACCCCGAGCCTTTGGCCTAAAGGTCTAATCCACAAGACAGTGGAGCAACGTAAGGAGATGTAGTCCCATAGAAGCCGGTGATGAACAATAGGTTCGCACACCATTTGACCCCTTAGGATCCTGGAGCCCATATGCACCATTGGTTTGGAATCAGGTTTTCCCAACTCCCACCAACCCGGTTAAAGCGCCGGGCATTCACTTTTCGCCCTCTCAATTTCGTAAACAACACCCCCGCCGCGAGAAGGCAGTGAGTAGGACTTCCCTGGCAGTGGTTGTATGCACGTGGCCATGTGAGAGCATTTGGAGAGAGAGAACTGACTCTTTCCCAATTTCGACCATACCAGGGCATTTGGGGGCCTTCCGGATAATCGCACTTACTGCTCCTAACACCTACCCACTACATGAGGTACCTTCTGGCTAGACGCAAACCTACCAAAGGTCGGACGTTACATTGTCATTGGCGTTTTTAAAGCATTGTTTGCAGATGGTGAACCGAGTGACGCTAAGCATAGATGTAGGGTACTAGGTGAAAAGAGTAAGTCGACTAACCGGCAATAAAGCTTCAATTGAAATGGTTAGGATATATGTTACTTGTGCCTGACTAACGTCTACTCTGATGTACAAAGCTGATTTAGGAGAAGGTTAGAAAAAAATATACGAGTGGTTAGACCAAGAAAAGGGCAACAGTTCATGAAGTTGTCGAGCAGTGGTCTGAGTAGTACTCTTAGATGCATACTACATAATGGAGAGCGATGCCATGCACGTAACTAATAGTTACAGATGCTAGGTAAAAAGAGGAGAAATAGATTGTGACTTGGGAGTTGCATTCATTTTTTTATCTACCGTTAAAACTTGAGTGATACTATAATCGAAAGTTAGCAATGGTTTTGGTTCCGAGTGAGACAACATCATCGACATTAATTCATTTTCAGGTTCCCCAACAAAAAATATCCTTTCAATACATTGATTGCTATGATTTACTTATTGATTCAATAAACATAAACAATGGTATAACTGGGTAAAGTACCAAAATAAGTATACACCATGGAAATAAGGAAATGAGATTGTGAATGGATAGAAAAAATATGGGGAGTATAATCAAAAATAAATAAAAGAATGAAAACAAACGAACAAAAATAGTAAATAGTGAGAGTCCCTTTAGTTATTACATGAACATAAAGGAAAATTACACCAGGCCCTCCACGAGCTTCTATTTTGAGCCATGTCTGATATGTCAAGCCAGTGAGTTGTATCTGACAGGAAGCCTTAATGGACCAGCAGACACTAGTCTTACACAGTTTTACTTCGTACAACAGCATTATGCTATAAAATGACCACCTCTTCACCTAGTCGCAGCATTGATAATCGGATAATCAATGCACGATATGGACGTCGCTGGGATGACAGTCGTCTGATCCACCGAAGTCAATGTTTTAAGATGATGATACTAATTGAATTGTTGTCACTGTGGCCAAACACACATTGATGAACCTCAGCATTACTAACATGGCGCTGCCACCGGATGTCAGCAATCTTTCGAAGACAATGATGATCGAACAGAAAGTTGTCGCACACTTCCAACTTGGGGAGGTAAGGTTTCGCAATCCCAGAGCAGAATTGTTTCGACCAATGAAGTGTATACTCTACCTTTTACAGTCGCAATAATATTACGACGGAGCCAAAGATGGTCCAGATTACCATGAGCCTATCTGGCTTTAATTATAATTAGACGGATCTTATCAGTCACTCCACCGTCAGCACTTATACAACAACTCGGGCAAATAAACTTCGACTACATTGGAATTTTCCTCAGTTCGACGATAGATTTGAAAAGAACAGATATAAGTATCATCCATTGGAAAAATATCATATAAGCTTTATGGTTAAAGATGAAATTGAGAGTAAAATAATGAGGAATGAATAAAAGCATACGCTTGTGCATACTTGAAAGAGGTGTGGCACTGTGTTTATTTATTTTTTTCGTATTTGTTGAGCCAGAAACCAAATGTTCTTCCCAAGCATTTTCTATATTAGTGTCTGATGTCAGGTCAATAGTATCATTGACCTGGATAGCTAAAACTGTACCTGATGCAGTTTGAGGAGGAACACACTGAAGTTCGAAAGTTTTTGGTAGAACAGACAATAATCTAGATGAAACAGAATTCGATGAAGTTAGATTCGGCTGTCGATTCGAAGGATTCACTGTTTGTATAGATCGATCTGGCGCGGATACCGAAGGAGAATGAGATAGTACAGGTAAACGAGGAGCTTGAGAAGAAAGAGTTCTCGATTGACCAATACCACTTGTTGGAGCAGGCAAAGGAATCTACCGGAAGAATCACGAGAAACACAAAAAATCAGACGGTCAATAACTTCATAGCACTGTCTGTCAGTATGTTTCAACAATAACATAAAGTAATTGAGAATATCACTCACTCGCTCATTAATCAATTTCGTCAAGTCTTTTGACGAAGACTCAATGAAATCCATTCGACCTGTTAATTGAGTTATTTCTTCCTTTAAACTAGTTACTGTTTTTTCAGTTGTCTCAATAAAAGATATATATTTGGACAATTTCTCTTTTAGAGCAAGTTTTAATTTTGAATCGAAACAGAGTCGAACTTTTTTAAGTTCTTCTTGAATTTCTGGTAAGCTTTTTAAGTTGCATATATTGTAACCATCCTTGAAACCATTATTCAATTTACAAACAGTATCTTGTTGCTCAAATAACCTAGGTTTTTTAACTGACGGACCTTGAGTACATGGATCACAGTCATTATGATTTTCAACAATTACATCATTCAACAAAGTGCAATTTGAATTAGAAATAGGTGTATTCTGTGTAATGTTAAAAAAATCTGTTACATCTGCGTTACAGGACAGATCTGACATGACAAACAATCCACTTAAGCATAAGTAAATGAGACCTACAATAAGATGAAAAAAAAAACAAAGGAGTGAAGATCCAGAAAGAAAGCATAAATATCAGGACATACCTTATTTTTTACCCGACGATTATTGTAATTGTATTTATTGAATCTAATTTGACAGTTTCTAGATTTGTGGATTAAAAAACTGTTTGACTTGATTAAGAAGCAAAATATTCTTTTTGTCTTGTACATGTACTACCAATTATATACAATAACTCAGTCCTAAGCCCAGTAGAACCTAGCACATATGGGCATGGGTTCACGTTGCTGTACCCTACTAACACAGCAAGATGAAACCATCGACACAAATGGTAGAATAGTAGATGAAATAACAGTGTCAATTGTCGTAGAAAAGATTGGGTGTACACAATATGACATTCAAGAAGAATAAGGACACCTACAAACGGTTATCTCCTTCACATTAACTCATATTCATAAATATTTCGATTAACTAATATTATTCATAATTGTTTACATAATTAGTTGTAGTGTAGGATCAGCAAACTGGTAAAAAGAAATTTCTGGAACGTGTCACAGAGCCATATCTGATATAAAACTGATTTGCGACTGGAACTTCCAGTGGTAACTAACTTGTAAACTAGAGGCTCACAGGATCGACCAGGTTGCATTTTTTGGTACTAAGGTTACTGATACTATTTGGTTGCCCAAACCGAAGTAGATATAGCGTGGTTCGAATGTGAAACCAAATGGTTGAGCCGATTGCTTTAACTGCTAAATCATCACTGCGATAAATCCCCACGATTGTATACTCTATAAACATAAAGTTTTATTTATAATATTACATCCAGACAACCATCCTATGATTCCAGGGGGGAGGAAGTCAATATTTCGGAACATTTCTAAACGGTAGACAAAGGTGGTGGTACGATTTCCGGACATCTGTTGCAAAGAAAGATCGCAGACGTTAGTCACACTTACCTTAAATTACCTTGAGAAAGATTGTGGTCGTATATGAGCTTCCTATTTACATCGCAGTTTTCTATAGAAGCGGTTGTCTTGGACACCATCAGGGTGGCGACTGATACTAACATTCACCCTATCTAGCGGTAACCGGCCCGTCGGTGAGTGGTTAAGGCACCCATATCTCAAGAAAGACTTTGGAGATTTAAAAACCACTTCATCTAATTTGACTAAGTTAAACAGGAAGTATCACTACTGTTCAAGCAAAGTACCACCTAGTCAAGTGAAAGATCATCCATCGCGTAACACTTATACTTGGAAAGAGATATGATTTTCAAGTAACGAAATGTTTACTGTCAGCAACTAAAATTCAAGACACTTGTCTTTACTGTAATATGACCAATTATTTTATACAAAGATTAACAATGAACCTTGCCTTCTCAGTTTGAAACAACAGTCAAAGCGTAAATCCTAACCACTGACAAATGACAGCGTATGCATGATTTTACGTGGTTTGTCTTTAGAATATTTTCTTGATATGCAAGGTCTGGTTGGAAACAGAATCATTAAGACAACTGTATGAGTGTCCTTGTTCGTAAATCATTATTTTAAAACATGTAGTGAAATACTGAGGTAGTGAATCTTGGATAGAACAATCAGGACATGGATACTTTCTCACTTCGAAACTTTTGTGAGTCAAAACTCTTCAACGATCTTGATGTCATCCAAATTCAGTATGCAAGAGGTTTACACAACAGGAACAATTGGTACTTAGAACAACTGGTCTCGAAATTTCTCATTTCCTTACAAATACAGCCCGTTACACAGTAACAATGTTAACTGGGATTTTTATGCATGACCATAATCATATTTGGAGCCAAATACTTTACCTAGTAAATAGCGTCTGGATTTACTTCCCAAGATAATTATTTGAGTGCGTAATGTTGCGCATCTGGGGAAATGATGTGTCCGACCATCTGAATCATTGTTTGGTAGACGAAGACGATGAATGTGATTGGTCGAGATATAATACTTCTGTAAATCATGTGTCATACAGGGAAGCAATCTGGGCTACATAAATTGATGGATAATACACACCACATATAGTTAAATATTTTTTGTACTAAGTCAATAAAGTAAGTTGGATGTTCTCTTGGGAGGAAGTAGCGTTCTGTGTGAAACTGAGCTAAGCATACCTTGGAGATGATCACCTTCAAGTGCTGATGGGATGATAACATTTAACGTACAGTCCCGGGGAGGTTAATATATATCGGAACCCAAACATTTAGGCTCAGAAACAAGCCATGTTATCATTTTGTTCGAACAATCCGCCCAACCACATGTTAAGGAAATTAACAGTCGTCCTGACCATAGCAGTGTGAAATGTAGCGGATTTATTGAGTATCGTGACACATAAACAAGGATTCAGGACGTATAATATCCGACACAATTACGAACTAAAGTCTGGTATACTCAACTTTTAAAGACGATTACCACAAAGAATGTGCTGTCTATGATACAAAAGATATTAAAGGTATATTTTATTAAGAAACTATGCAGTCATATTTGCACAGAATGTGTAACCGAACCATGTACAGTTGTGAAGTACATATCAAAACAAACAATAACATACCGGCAATACAATACACGCGTAACCCAGCAGCGAAGAGGTGAGTGCTTAGTTCGATGCAACAGAAAAGAGCATAACCATAATGCGACAACCCACACTAATCAGCTCGTCTTGTTTATAGAACTTCAAAACAGTGGGAGTCTTGAGAGGTTAGCGAATAGTTAGTAAAACACAGATACAATAACTACAAATCACTTTGCAGGATCGATTTGTTTAAATGAACTGTGTAGTAGTAGCAACCAAAGCGATCGAGGTGCCGTGGTGTGACAAGTGGGATACCAAGACACATATATGTTAGTCAAGGTTTCCAAGAAATATAAATTGACGACAGATAAACCTCCTAATAATTATGTAAAACACTGTCAAGGTCGTCAGCAAGTCCTGTAACCTTGACGCCATACTGTGGTTACTTTGATCTACAAATGTCTAACAGTGATGTAGTGTTCTTGATAAATCTCGGTTATTTTCGAGTTAATGTACAGTGATCAAATATTATAACGGCTACGTACTTACGAAGTTGAGCACAGAGTTTGTAATTGCATAAGGCGGTATCACAAAGTCAAACAAAACGTATCCTATTGATATTCTATAATAATTAAATATCTTGTCCAGGAACAACATGGTATTCGCCGTAGGAAAGTTTATTTTGACATTCACCGTTCCCATATTTTTGTGTTTATTCGATCGGGTTAACAATTGAACCCTGTATGCGCTTCAAGAACGGGAAGTCTGATCCTAACGTTATTTGCATTTCTCAAAATCTTTCGGTGTTCTTACCCAACGAATGAACCATTTTGATCCAAGGAATCTGTCCTGAGCTTAACGTTTGCCATGTTACTTTTCTGTCTGAGATTTACCCTAGTCAATAGTTGACTATGTTTTTTGTCTCAGCCTTCAGTTTTCCACATCAAAGATAGTTTTGGTGTATCTAAACCTTCTGTAACACCCGTTTTTTATCCACTTTACTCGTTTTGAGTGTATTGCTTTTTGTTTTACGGTCGTAAACCTTTGGTAGGATCTGTTAAGCAACTCACACCACCAGAGTCATGAAGAACTCATGCAAGCGGCCTGAATGGAATTTCGCTGTCACCTATGGCATGCAGTGTGAAAAATGGAAAAGTTGGTTTCATGAAGCATACACAGATATTACAGTAACTGCTTGCTACAGACTCTGTATGTCGGATTGTAGGTGGATATGTGGCACATACAACATAAATGCTGAGGATTTGCTGAGCATCATTATTTTGACAACTTTGAGAAAAAGGTTGTCAGCAAATCTGAAAAAAGACAGTTCAGGGACGGATAAACAAACAAAGACGTGCAGTGAGGCAAAGAAGAGGATCTTCGATAACGTTAGCATCAATCGAACATTCATCGACATTAGTGAGGATATACAGATGCTCAGCACCACCATAACATCGAGTGTAAAGGACTCTCTCAGCAAAGTTGGGTTTCTTGGCACAGGCTCCCCAAATGCAACTGTGGCTCCCGAAAATTCTGTAGTGCACTGGACCACGTTAAGAGAGTTAAAAATTGTCGAGTGTCACCGCCCATATCTTGTAGTGAAATCAGCTGGTGATTTGACCACACAATCTACGCCTAAGTTTATCCAACCGGTCTGTAAAGAGCACAAGGATTCGAGACGCATTTCAACTCCCTAACAAGGAGAAAATCGACCTAAACGTACCAGGAAACCTGGGAAAATGGTTACAGTTCGCGTTGACTCACTCATAATCATGAATCCTAAAGATTGCTCTGACATTCCGCTTAGTCTGTAGGACAAAAATCACAAGATGCTCTGAAAATAGTTGAATTACGAATATTAATAAATATTACAAATATATTATTCGTTTAGTTGAACACGAAGCTCAAACTCCATAAAACAGAGCTACCGACGGTTACATGGCTCACTCGGGGTAATGACTGCAAGCACAAAAGTCACTTAGTGTAGCGTTCACCAACACTGCCAGCGTAGATGATGTTCTGACGGCTGTTCACCTGCTGCAATCAGATGAGGTTACAATAATACTACTAGCTGGCACACCATATTCTGAGTATAATCTCATCAAGAGCGTCTCTAAGGAATCTCACGAGACATTCTTTCGCGGAAGAAAACATAGATCATGAGTACGCAGACACCGATATTCACTAGGGGAAATTCATTAGGCAGTCGTTGAGGCTCAAGAACATATTGACTAGACAAGTGGTGAGACTCACCAAGAAGGATGAGGATTCTAGACCCCGATTATTGAAGATAACCCTCGGATCTTCCCATATGGCGGCTGTCAAACTTGAACTATTTCATGCCAACAGACGTTGGTTGCCAGTTGGAATCCACGTCCATTTGGATAGACCACATTATGACATGATTGAGCACAAAGACAAGTTGGAGCTGACTATCTCACTTGTAGACTGTCAAGACCATGAAAAAAACGTAAAGAGTATAGAATCTACCAATTTGGAAGTCCCTATATATGTAGGTTGCTTTTTCATTCACGTAAGGTTTATACAGATTAACAGGACGGGGAAAGTATAAACTCCTCATGTATGAACACTACAAGTTTACCAAATAAAATGGATAAGCTGGGTGAACTCAGTAATGCTAATAATACTCATCTGATAAGAATATCTGAAACATGAATATCTTCTCAAACTACGAGCTAGGAGCTAACAATGCTCGGCATATCTTTGTTCCGCAACGACAAAAAAACAGGGAGGGGGACGGAGTAGCTCTGTACCTGTGATCGTTTTAGTAGTACATCCGGTGCACACCGAAGAGTTTGTCAATCTAGACGAATCTGTAGGGTCCTCAGTGAGATCGTCTAACACCTTGAGATGTCTAGTTGGAGTCATCTACAGAAAGTCCACTGTTGACACTAAGTTTGACAATCATATGGTGGAAGGATAATCTCACTCTACTCGCCTCGGATACATTCATATCTTGATTCTAGGGAAATTCAATCTTCTTAAAGTCAACTTCGCTAACCACACAAACATTGGGGGTGACAAACCTTCTGAAGCCCGGTCCGTCTACCTCAATAAAGACCAGGGATTATTCGAAAATGTCAAGTCGGCAACTCATCGGAGAAACAGTCAAACGCCGTCGCGCTTAGAGTGAATTTTTACGAAAGAGGAATTCCTAATTGACAACTTCCCACTCTTGGTTCCTCTGAATGAAAGTAATCACACCTTCATAGCCTTCAATCTCAACAGCGAATCTGATTTAACAGATCTCCACCAACAATTTACGCTGGAATTTCAAACGGTTGGATGTGTCAGCTTTACAGGATGGACCTGAAAGTTCACTCTCAACTTAATGTGGATGCTCAATAAGATTTCCTACTGCACATTATCTTATATGCTGCATGACAGGACGTTCAAAAAACTGTCCCTAAAAACGAAAGGAAACCTACGGTCTTCGAGAAGCATACTCTTCATTTCTTAAACCACCAAAGACTCTACTTGGCTGAATACTGACGAACTAGTAACAACAGCGTACACAGACGATCCAAGCAAGCAAAGTATCAGTGAACAAAGACAGTAAGGGAAAACAGGCTTCAGTATCAAACAAAACTAACCGGAAAGTTTTTCTTCACCTCGGATAGTTTGTTCTATCATGCAGCCTCTCTTCGACGGTGCAAAACCGGAGTTTCTTTTCACCCTAACAGCGCGATTTGAGAAATGGTCACTCTTGTATAACTAACCTGCTGACCACAATGAGCTGGTGGACAAATATCCCTTATCACAAGGTGGAGGTTGGCGTCATATACATTGACTTCTCAAAAGCTTTTGATAGGGTCAACCATATATATCTTATCAATAAGCTCAAACGATTAGATATCAAATCATCTTCAATTGTTTGAATAACTTCATATATAAAAAGTCGATATTTAAGGGACAGGGTCAACTTCACTTTCTTTTGAGGCTACAGGTTGTTCTAGTGAAATCTCCCAAGGTTCGGTCCTTGAATCTTATGTTTTCTTGATTTATATAAACGATCTTCCACAGCAGGTATCGTCAGATTCATTACTTTTTGCTGACGATGTGAAACTATAAAGAGAAGCATGCAACCAAGGGGATAAACCAGCACTTCATGAGGATCTGACTCAAACTCAAAGTTGGGCGAATGACAACGGACTTACCCTTGTCACTTCAAAGTGTAAGGTAGTTCATTTGAGACATGATGCAGACCACAAATACAACTTAGTTAATTCCCTTTCGAAAAGTATCTCAAGTCGAAAAAGTTCTATGGGTGTTGGTACTCTATAAGCTGAAATCCTAAGCTAACTGCAGCAAGAATGCTTTTTGAATAAACCTTGCACTGGAGATGTCGAAGCCCATTTTTTTACCATTTCGATAGATAAACTTTCCACATCATCTTCAACAGTTTTTTTCGTCCCCGTTTGTGCTACAGAAACGTTGTATTTCCTCCCTTACTTCAAGGGGATAAGGTTACATTGAACATATTCAACGGAGAGCCACGAAATCAGTTTATGGACTGAACTTGAAGTCTTATGAAGAGCGCCTTCAACCGCTGAATCTTTACCCATCCGAGTACAGGCGTCTTAGAGGTGACCTTCCAATGACTTATGGCATCCTGGACATCCACTTAAAAACCTAATTGAGCCCAGTCCCAACACAAACCTTAGGAATAGCACCCAGAAACTGGATACACAAAATGGCAGAACGGACAGTGGCACACGTTTTACGGCATCAGGGTATTATTATCATTATTCACAAACATTTTATGGGTACACCAGTTCTGTGAAGAAACCATTTTGGGTTTCTTCAAAATTGCAATACTCGAGTTTCAATAATGTCAGCATTATGTGTGCCATATTTGAAAGAGAGAAAAAATTTTAGATCTCGCTGCCGGCTGAGATTGTCGAAGCAGCTTCCCAGTAGTTTTTTAGGCGAAAACTTGATATATTCTTAAGGACCAAGAACAGTATCTCACTATTATTAAGCAGTTTTTTCCTCTTTTATGGTTTATATACCACGGCTCCTACCCTGAGGCATTGGTGACTCACTGCTATTAGATATGGAAACCTGTTGAACGAAAACTTCTTCAATTCAATCCATTACCAGTTGAAGCATTATGTGAAACTGAAATCAGAAGACATTAGTTTACCCCCGGATAGATGGTTCAAAGACCACTTCACAGTAGAATACAAGCCATCACTGTTTGTTGTGTCTTGTCAGGTTTTTACATATTGGTAGCGGGACACATCAAGGTATTTCCCTGGGACTACTTCCCTTATAGTTGTTTACTAACAGTGTATTAGAAAAAACCGAAGTGGAGCACCAAACTCTTATCATCTCGAGAATTCTAGCATCAAAATTTCAACCAAAGGAACAGACCTAATCTTTAACCTAAAAAACAAGCTGGGTTACTGGTACTATTGACAAATAGTAAAACACAGTATTATAAAGATTTTTATCAAGATATATTGGTAGTGTTGCTCTTGAAGTCTATGAAGTGTATCAAACCTATCAATTCTCCCAGCTTCAAGTATTCAGTCGATTT